ATGTTCTTGGGGTTCATCCATGTTGTAGCATGAATCAGTATTTCCTTTTTCTGGCTGAATAGCATGTCTCAGTACGGATATACCATAGTCTGTTTACCCATCTGCCCACTGACGGACAGTGAGGTTGTTTCCATCTTTGGCTACTGTGAAGGGTGCTACTATGAACATTCGTGTACAAGTATTGTTTATCTGTTTTCAGTTCTCTGGGGGTATATGCCTAGAGTGGAACCACTGGGTCATATGGCAGTTTAACTTTTTGAGGAATTGCCAAACTGTGTCCCACAGTGATTAACCATTTTACATTCCTACCAGCAAAGTATGTGGGTTGTTCCTTTTTTCCACATATTTACCAACATTGCTTTTGTTTTGGGGTTGTTTTTTCTTTATCCATCTTTATGGATGTGAAGTACTATCTTGCGGTTTTCATTTACATTTCCTGAGGACTTACCATGTCGAACCTCTTTCATGTGCTTGTTGGCTATTCGTGTATGTTCTTTGGAGAAATGTCAGTTCAGGGGTGCCTGGGTGCCTCAGTTGGTTAAGGGTATGCCTTTGGCTCAGGTCATGGTCCCAGGATCCTGGGATCGAGTCCTGCATCGGGCTCCCTGCTCAGTGGGGAGCCTGCTTCTCCCTCTGCCTGCCGCTCCCCCTGCTTTGTGCTGTCAAATAAATAAAAAATAAAATCTTTTTTTTAAAGATTTTATTTATTTACAACAGAGAGAGAGAGAGAGAGAGAGAGAGAGACAGCTAGAGAGAGAACACAGGCAGGGGGAGCAGGAGACGGAGAAGCAGGCTCCTGGCTGAGCAGGGAGCCTGATGCGGGGCTCGATCCCAGGACCCTGGGGACCATGACCTGAGCCATAGGCAGACGCTTAACGACTGAGCCACCCAGACGCCCCAAAAAATAAAATCTTAAAAAAAATGTCAGTTCAAATCCTTTGCCCACCTTTTGTTTCTTGTTTATGCTGTAGTGTTCCAGGAGTTCTTTATATATTCTGAGTACTAGGCCCTTTTCAGATCTGTGGTCTGCAAATATTTCCTCCCACTCTGTAGGTTGTCTTTCTGCATATCCCTTTTAAGTTACATTTATTAATATGAATATTTCTCACCACGTTTCACAACTCTGAAGGCTGGAACAGAGGCTGTATATCTGTCTACCTGAATCCCCTTCTCCTGCCCCCCCAGGTCAAAGGTAACATCACGGTTCTGCCTTTGTTTCTATGTCCTGCTTCCTAATGAAATAGCCCTATTGGACAGATGTTCAGGCCTAACCAGTACCTCATTTTCTTTGTTGCTTTTGAACTTTGTAGAATGGTCAACAATTTTACATGGTGCTGAATGGTTTTCCAGAAATGGTTGTACCAACTCACACTCCCCACTGTAATAGAGATTTTTGATCCCTGTCTTCTCCAACACTTGCTTTGTCCAATTTCTTTCTTTTTGCCAATTGAATGGGTCTAAAATGGTATCTGCTAGTCTTGCTTTGCGTATCTCTGATCATTAATGAGATTGAATCCATCTCATGTTTATTGGTCTTGACTGTTTCTTTTTTTTAAAATTTTTTATTGTTATGTTAATCACCATACATTACATCATTAGTTCTTGATGTAGTGTTCCATGATTCATTGTTTGTGCATAACACCCAGTGCTCCACGCAGAACGCGCCCTCTTTAATACCCATCACCAGGCTAACCCATCCCCCCACCCCCCTCCCCTCTAGAACCCTCAGTTTGTTTTTCAGAGTCCATCGTCTCTCATGGTTCTGCTCCCCCTCCGACTTACTCCCCTTCATTCTTCCCCTCCTGCTATCTTCTTCTTTTTCTTTTTTCTTAACATATGTTGCATTATTTGTTTCAGAAGTACAGATCTCTGATTCAACAGTCTTGCACAATGCACAGCGCTCACCATAGCACATACCCTCCCCAATGTCTATCACCCAGCCACCCCATCCCTCCCACACCCACCACTCCAGCAACCCTCAGTTTGTTTCCTGAGATTAAGAATTCCTCATATCAGTGAGGTCATGTGATATATGTCTTTCTCTGATTGAAAGACATTTCAATTTCACTCAGCATGACACCCTCCAGTTCCATCCACATCGTTGCAAATGGCAAGATCTCATTCCTTTTGATGGCTGCATAATATTCCATTGTGTATATATACCACATCTTCTTTATCCATTCAGCTGTCGATGGGCATCTTGGTTCTTTCCATAGTTTGGCTGTTGTGGACATTGCTGCTATAAACATTGGGGTGCACGTACCCCTTCGGGTCCCTACATTTGTATCTTTGTGGTAAATACCCAGTAGTGCAATTGCTGGATCGTATGGTAGCTCTAATTTCAACTTTTTGAAGAACCTCCGTACTGTTTTCCAGAGTGGTTGCACCAGCTTGCATTCCCACCAACAGTGTAGGAGGGTTCCCCTTTCTCCACATCCCCGTCAACATCTGTCGTTTCCTGAATTGTTAATTTTAGCCATTCTGATGGGTGTGAGGTGGTATCTCATTGAGGTTTTGATTTGGATTTCCCTGATGCCGAGCGATGTTGAGCACTTTTTCATGTCTGTTGGCCATTTGGATGTCTTCTTTGGAAAAATGTCTGCTCATGTCTTCTGCCCATTTCTTGATTGGATTATTTGTTCTTTGGGTGTTGAGTTTGATAAGTTTTTTATAGATTTTGGATACTAGCCCTTTATCTGATATATCATTTGCAAATATTTTCTCCCATTCTGTCGGTTGTCTTTTGGTTTTGTGGACTGTTTCTTTTGCTGTGCAAAAGCTTTTTATCTTGATGAAATCCCAATAGTTCATTTTTGCCCTGGCTTCCCTTGCCTTTGGCAATGTTTCTAGGAAGAAGTTGCTGTAGCTGAGGTCGAAGAGGTTGCTGCCTGTGTTCTCCTTTAGGATTTTGATGGACTCCTGTCTCACATTTAGGTCTTTCAAGCATTTGGAGTCTGTTTTTGTGTGTGGTGTAAGGAAATGGTCCAGTTTCATTCTGCTGCATGTGGCTGTCCAATTTTCCCAACACCATTTGTGGAAGAGACTGTCTTTTTTCCATTGGACATTCTTTCCTGCTTTGTCAAAGATGAGTTGACCATAGAGTTGAGGGTCCATTTCTGGGCTCTCGATTCTGTTCCATTGATCTATGTGTCTGTTTTTGTGCCAGTACCATACTGTCTTGATGATGACAGCTTGGTCTTGACTGTTTCTTCTGCTATCAATGTCCGTGTCTTTTGGTCTTCTTTTCTTTAGTAGACCTATTGTCGTTTCTTGCTGATTTGAGTGTACTCAGAATATCTGGATGTGTCTCTAGGGATAATGAGGAAAGGTGTGTGTACTTTTGGTTCTGGCCAGATTCCCCTCTTCCGGGGGCTCCCCAGGACCGGTTCCTTTTCTCTGCCAGTCCCAACAGTGTTTGTACCAGAACAGCTGGTGAGAAAGGGATTTCACTGCGGTCTTCAGCTGCCCCCTGCTTACGCCGAGTGAGCATGAGCATCCCTCCATTCACACCCTTCCTGCGGACCACCTGCTCGCCTCCTTCCTCCCTTCTCCTCTCCGATCAGCTCTCTGCGGATGTTTAAAAACGGAGGGGCAATTGACATTGCTTCTCTCTTTTTTAAAAGATTTTATTTATCTGACAGAGAGAGACACAGCGAGAGAGGGAACACAAGCAGGGGGAGTGGGAGAGGGAGAAGCAGGCTTCCCGCGGAGCAGGGAGCCCCATGCAGGGCTCGATCCCAGGACCCTGGCATCATGACCTGAGCCGAAGGCAGATGCTTAACCGACTGAGCCACCCAGGTGCCACCCCCCCTTTTTTTTTTTTTTAAAACAATTTTATTTATTTAGTTGGTGCAGAGAAGGGGAGCACAAGCAGGGGGAACGGGAGAGGGAGAAGCAGGCTCCCCACTGAGCAGGGAGCCCAATGCGGGACTCCATCCCAGGACCCTGGGATCATGACCTGAGCCGAAGGCAGACGCTTAACGACTGAGCCCCCCAGGCGCCCCTCCTGCTTTGGTTCTTGTTCTCTCCTTTCTCTTCCCTCCAGGTCTTTCCATCGAGTCTTGAACATCTCTCCAGCTCCCCGCGCCCCCGCCCAGCTCACGCTGGCTGCCGCCTCTCCCGGCGCCTCTTTCTCCAGCCCCTCAGTGTCCCTTTCTCGCCTCCTGTGTGCTTGTTCCTGGGCCACCTGCAGTTCCTATTTGCCCTCCCTTCCCTGTCCTTCCTCCTGTTCGCTCTCCCAGGGGCAACAAAGCAGGGCCTTTCTCGTCCCTTTTGCTGAGCAGAACTACCAGATCCATACCCCTGCCCCCGGGCCCCGCTTGCTGGTCGCCCCCCCCCCCCCCCCCCCCCCAGCCCCCCTCTTCCACTTCCACCTCTGCACCTCTGGGAGGGTCCTTTCTCTCTTCTTTCTTGCTCTCAGTGACCTGGCCTCTCACACACTTCCTCTCCTGTCCCTGTCCTCTGCCACCTCTCGACCCCAGGCCTCTCCTCTTCAGTGCCCCTGGGGGCAGCACATGTGGCCCTGCACGGCGGGGGCGCTTGTGGTATGATTCCCAGACCCTCCACACCTTCCCGCAGAGCTCCTGCAGAGGTGGTGACCTCACCCAGGCTGATCCTGGGGGAGCCCACTGGAACTCATCCCCTGGGCCCCCTTTCAGGGTCTCCACGGAGGCCCTGGGATTCTGCCAGCCTCGAGCAGGGGCTGCCCACCCTGACTTGGGTGAGCCTACTGCCTTCTCCCCTTTAAGCTGGGTCTGTGAGTGGCTGGCCAAGGGCGGCCCCGTGTTGGAAAGAGGTGGCTTGGCTCTAGTCTTGGCTGGGAGCCAGGGACTCACCTGGGGTGGGGGGATCTCTATGCACTGCCTGCTGAGTCCGCTGGGGGTGGGCATGTGTCTTAGGGTGAAGGTGAGTGTCTCATCAGTAGGATATGTAATTAGAGACCCCTTGGGGCCTCCAGGGACGGACGAGGAACTCTAACAGGGACATAAGCTCTCAGAGAATTTGGCTCCATTCAAGTTTTATTGGACTCCTTTCGGCCTGGAGCTGGCTCTGGTGGGCTGCGGAGGTGGCCTGCTGCCCAAGGGAAGGGAAGGGAGAAGGGAAGGGCGGGCAGAAGGAAGGGGCTGGAGAGAGATCATTAGCCCTCACCCCCCTCCCCCAGGGGAGGGCCGTCCCTGTCTCCAGCACTGGCCCCAGGGCCACCAGTCCAGCCACCCCATAAATCCCAGCCACGGGGCACAGGGGGCCAGCCCTCAAGGCCAGTCCTCGGCTGGCTATGTGGCCGGTGTGTGCCCGTTGGCCAGCCGCCCAGCGAGCCGGCTCCGAGGGCCGTCCATGGGGGCTGCCCCGGGCCTGTGAGTGGCGCCATTCTTCAGCGGCAGGTGCCCCTGGTCCGCCTCCCCATCGCTCGAATCGGACTCCTCCACGTCGCTGCGGACGTCCTTCTCCATCTGGGGAACAGGGAGGGGCATGAGGCTTGGGCTGGGCCGGGCCTGGGGGCTGCAGGGGGGGCACACACAAGCCACCCCTCCCCGGCCCTACCCGGCCTTTCTTCAGGAAGCTGCAGAGCATGCGGAGGATGAGGCAAGACCAGAACACGTGCAGCAGCTGCAGCACCATCAGCAGGACGTTGAAGAAGTAGTAGCCAAAGAAGGGGCTCCGCTCAGCAATGGACTCGTAGTATGTGGTATAGAGGATCCTACAGCAGCGAAGCAGGAGGGAGATGGGGCTTCAGCAGCGGCCGCAGCCCTCAGTCCCTGGGACCTCTAACTTGTGTGACCCTCCTTGTTCCAGAACCTTCATGGCTCCCTCTGCCCTCCAGAGGGATAGCAATGTTCTTTAGCTGGGCATTTAAGTGCCCCTCTCACCTGGTCATATTTAATTGTTAGAACGCACACTTGCTGACTGGCCATTCATGACCATGAACCCTAAGGGGATGCTTGGTGGTCTAGCTGCTCCCCTGCGTGTTCTTTCACACCTTCTCTTCTCTCCTCAGAGCCCCCCCGGCCCCCCAGGCAGTGAGCTTTCGCCCCGCCCTGCCCCCGGCTCGGCTGTGGGGTCACCAGTGGCCAGCCTTGCTCAGGCAGCTGGCCCTCCCTTCCTGATGCTCTCCTCCTGGGCCTTCAGGGGCCCGCATTCCCGTCTCCTCCACAGGCTGCCCCAACCTACAAATTTCGGGGGCTCCAGGTCACCCAGTGACCCCATCCAGTCTTGTGGCTGCAAACTCTGGACATGTACATGTGCATCTCTGTCTAGAAGCCTGGGGTTCTAGACAGACCCCACCAACCAGCACAGCCAAAGCTGAGCACCTGCTCAAGCAGCAACTCTGAACTCATGCCTGTTTCATGACCCTCGAGTGACCCCCGAGTGTACCCACCTCTGTCACCTGCAGTGGTCCAGCCCCACCATGGCTCACCTGGGCCAGCGCAGTCTCCTGGGCTCTACCTCCCCAGGCCTCCCCAGTTCCTGCTCAGGCCTCTCACCAGCTGTTCCCCAGCAGCCACCAGAGGACGCCTGTGAGCCTGAGCCAGGTCTGTCCCTCTTCCGCACACAGCCCTCCAGGGCTCCCTCCTCACTGGCGTAAAAGCCTAAGTCCTTCCTGAGGCCCCCAAAGCCTGGAATGACCTGCCCCGTCCGTCCCTTCTTCCCTGTCTCCCCCTCGCTCACTCTGCTCCAGCCACATGGGCCTCCTTGCTGTACCTCCACGGCAGGCCCAGTCCTGCCCCCGGGCCTTTGCACATGCTGTGCTTGCTGCTTGGACCACTCTTTGCCTATGATCAATGTAGGTTTTCTCCCTCCAGTCTCTCTCTGTGAATGCCATCAGCGACGTCTTCCCTGACCACCCTAATTCCAACTACCTACACACTTCCTGTGCTCTTCCCAACCTCATTTTCTCTTTAGCAAATCACTTTCTCATGCTTTATATTCTACTTGTTTGCCTTATTTATTATAGTCCCCACCCACCCCACGTCAGCTTCACTTGAGCAGGTACCTTCATGTTGCTCCCTCATCAGCAAACAGACTGGGCAAAGACTTTAGTGAGTGTGTGCCCAACCCTGCTGCCACCTCCATGTTCTGGGCACAGGGGAGAATGATTGAGCCCAGAATGCTGTGCTCAGTGCCAGGAACACCTTTCCTTGCCTTCTCCTGGAGGCCTCCTGGCCAACACCCCCAACTCCATGCGTCAGGAAACGCAGGGTGAGGTAGGCCTGGACCTCAGACATGCCCTCCCTCCCTGCTCCCCAACCAGCGGGAGGGCGGACTTACTTTGTAGGGAAGAGCACGAGGCGAGTATAGAAGAAGACCAAGGAGAAGATGATGAAGAGGGCGTCGCACACTTTCCGCCTGTTCGTGTAATTGAACATCTTACCGGCCTGGGGAGGGCGGCAGAGAGACACGGCCTCAGGCCAATGGTGGCGAGGGAGGCGGGGAAGGGGCGAATAGGTGAGAAGGAGGGTGCTGGGAAAGGGCAGGGCCTCCTCTCCAGGTACTGTCCAGAAAGGTGAAGCGTGTGCCTCCGGGAGTGTGAGAAGCTTCATTTCCCTGGAAGCCACAAGGGCGCGTGGTCTCACGGCGGGGAGGCGGGGCGGGGCAGGGCGGGGCGGGGCCTCCCCTCCCAGGAAGGCTGGGAGACGGGGCTGGGAGGGTGGGGTTGGGGGGAGGATCAGGCTGGGAGGGTGGGGTGGGGGCGGGGTCAGGCTGGGGGTGGGTGGGGGCGGGGTCAGGGTGGGGCGGGGGAGGGTCGGGCTGGGAGGATGGGGCTGGGGGGGTAAGGCTGGGAGGGGGGGCTGGGAGGATGGGGCGGGGGAGGGTGGGGCTGGGGGTGGGGTCAGGCTGGGAGGGTGGGGCTGGGAGGATGGGGCTGGGGGCGGGGCCAGGCTGGGAGGATGGGGCAGGGGCGGGGCCAGGCTGGGAGGGTGGGGCGGGGGCGGGGGCAGGCTGGGAGGGTGGGGCAGGGGCGGGGGCAGGCTGGGAGGGGGGGGCTGAGGGCGGGGTCAGGCGGGCCAGGCCCACCTCCAGGAGGTAGTCGGAGGCGTCATGCAGCAGCAGCACCAGGGAGCCGATGCGCAGCAGGTTTGAGCTGTAGGAGAACACGATCAGGATGATGGTCACGAAGTGGTGTGCCACCTGCTCCTTGAAATCCTGCGGGAGACGGTGGGTCACAGCAGGGATGAGTCTGGGGGGGGCACCCCACTGGGCTGGGGGCAGGCCCTCTCTGGGGGCTGGCTGGCTGGCTGGCATCTGTACCTTGTGGACTGCAGGTCCTCCGGCCTGAGGCACGGTGGGGGGGGTGTCTCAGGGTAGGGGGTGAAGCCATCCCTCCCTATGTGTGACTGGATCACAACCTCGCCCCCAACCCCAGCATCACTTCCCAGCCAGATTCTCGGCCCAGGCTCACCTTACGCTTGACATCAAAGGGCAGCGTGATCAGCAGTGAGACGTAGAAACTCAGCTCCAGGAGGTACCAATAGTAGAGGGCCGGTTTCAGGGGCTGCGGGGACGTGGGGCAAGGTTAGCTGCGGGGCGGGGGTCGAGGCTCGGGGGTGGCGGGGCATGGCTTAGGGCCCTCCTCGCTTGCTCAGAACCAGGACCCTTGAATCCCAATGAGTGAAGAAGGTATAAGCTCCCCGTCCCTGGAGGTAGTCAAGGGCCAGTGGTTTTGCAGCAGCTCCTGCTCGGAGTTTCCCGGTGTCTGGTCCCTCCCCATTCCGCAGGGGAGGCAAAAATACAGAGTGGAACTCGGAGGGGAGTCATGTGATGTCCGTGGTTCGCTCTCCCGTCTGTGGCTGAAGGAACTCTAACCACCCCCACCCCCCACCCCCAGCCTCCAAGCTCCACCTGCCACTCACCTGATTTGGGTAACTGTCCCAGCACATTGCCGGTGTCCACAGCCATGACTCCTGCAGGGACACGGGAGTCTGAGGCTGCCCAGAGGTCAGAGCCCAGCCCTCTACCCCGCCCCCCGGGGGGGCCCTGTCCAGGGCTGCTCTCATTCTAGACCCAGAGCTGTGGGCTGCGGATCCCCAGCTCCCGTGCACGGTGTGTCCTCAAAGGGCACCTGAGCAGACGCTTTTGCATGGGCTCCCTCTGCCCGAACCCCTCCGCACCCCCCAGTCCAGGCCCAGCGCACCGCAAGGGCTTGTGGGATAGGTGGCGGGGGAGGCAAGCGGCCAGGAACACTCACGTGGTAGAGGATGGACAAGCCACCGAAGAAGGAGCACAGGTAGAAAGCAAACCTCCAGCTGCAGATGGGGAGGGAGCCCATGAGGCAGCCACCGGAGGCCCGGACTCCACCCCCCCCGCCCCGCACCCCCAGAGCCCCCCGCCTCAGCCCCACCCCGGGCTTACCTGGCCTCGCAGAACTTCTTGGTCAGGCAGGGCCGGTCCTGGTTCCGGCGCCTCCGGAACCAGCGCTGGGTCTGCTGCAGTGTGAGGCCACACTGGGCCGCGAGGAGGGCCATCTGGGGCTGGGGAGAGGTGATGGCGGGGGGAGTCACAGAGGAGGCTTCCCGTCCATGTCCCAGGACAGATGAGACCCAGCTGTGCTCCCCCTCTACCCCAGACCTCGCCTGTGGGATTGTCTGCCTACGGACATGGGGGGGGTCCCCCCAAAACAGGCCGTATGAAAATCAGCCCTGCTCACAGGAGAGGCAGGTGGCTGATGGGGACGGGGACTAAGAAAGCAGCTGGGGGTGGGGCAGCCCCCCTACAGGTTTTCCTATACCCTTCCAGAAGAGTCAGGTCTTACCCTCTCCCCAGGCAGGCAGTTAAGACCTTGCCTCCCACCCCTACCTGCAGAGGGAGGGTGACTGCGGAGGGGGAAGGTCCCCTCTACCGAGAGCCACAGTACAGTACAGATGGGAATGGGGGCCATCACAGGTCTGCTGTGGTCAACGCCCCCCCCCCCAAGCAGTCAGTCCTTCCTCTCTCACCAGCTCAGCAGAGCCCTGCTCCCCACCCCCCCCAGGCGCAGGATCTGCCCACTGGGCCAGCTGGGCTGGCTGGTGGAGTGGGGGTAGGAGCGCTGTGGGGGCACAGAGGCTGCCCTGGGCTTTCCCTGTTCCTGACAACGGGGCCCCATCCCACCCCCAGGCCCCATCCACAAGCCCCCCCCTCCCCCGCAGGCCGACGGGGATGGGGAGGGGCATCAGGGGGTTCTCACCTCCTTGGGCTTCCACCCTTCTGTGAGGAAGTACTTCTCCAGAGTGGCATTGGGCTTCACCAGCCTCCTGGCATGATTGCGCACACCTAGCAACCGACTCAGGGGCATGCCAACAAATCTGGATGCAGGGGAGACAGAGCCTGTCAATCCAGGTGGGGAAACTGAGGCTCAGAGGGGCCAGGTCACACACTGGGAGCCTGGAGGGGTAGTCTGGCCGCTGCACTGGGACCAAACCTAAGAAAGGCAGCTGGGCGGCCGGTCTTCAGGGTGGGAATGTGGAAGTTAACTTTTGGGGTCTCAAGCAGCTCCACTCAGTTCCAAACAGGAAGGAGAGTCCCCTCACTGCCCGCCTGTCTCATGGTGGTCCGGATCCTTGTCTGTCTCCTGCCAGGCTGGGGGTCCCCAAAGGCAGAAAGGAGCAGGTGCACTCCCTCTCAGGCCTCCCTTCTCCCAGTGTGGACATGTGGAGGGGCCTGGTCCCTGGCCAGTCATCATACATCCCACTAGACCCTGCCCCCCGGACTTCATACCCACCAAACATCACCCTGCATTTGGGGAAACTGAGGCTCAAAGCAGCTCAGCAAGGAACTCCTTCCAGACTCAATCATGACGGGGAGTGGGGGAGGAGGGGACTGTCATTTCTTGAGTGCTGACATCTGCCAAGCATGGGTCCAAGTCCACATTAGCTGCCGGTTCATTTAGCTCTACTGTCAAAGTCCCCATTGTCCTGATGGGCAAACTGAGGCCCAGACAGGTCAGAGAGATGCCCAAGGTTACACAGCGAGTGAGTAGCAGACTGGCCCAGGATTTACTTCAAAAATGGCGAGAACCTCTGCCTTCGACCCTGGAAAAGCTATCCAATCCCCATGGCCCTATGAAAGGACACCTCTGGGATGTGAACACACCCCCCCACCTCTGATGAGGCCATCAGTTAAATACACAACCCCCCACTCCAGGTTCCAGTAGTGAACCTGGGCATAGTCTGACGTCCCCCCCCCCCCCCCCCCCCCGTCCCCGCAGGAAAGGTGGCGACTCGCCCTTCAAAGCCTGGCTGACTTGAGCCTCTTAGAATCCCTCAGGCAAAGCCTCAATCCCAGATGACCTACGCTGTGTGTGACCACAGGCCTCCCTTGACCTCTGGGCCTCCATTTCCTAGTCTGTAAAATGGGGATAATAGTACCACCTCACAGGGTTGCCCTGAGAGCTAGGACGCATAAGCTGCTCAGAGCAATGGTGGGCACAGAGTAGGCGCTTAGAGGGTATCTATTAAATAAATTCAACCTCAGTGGGTATTCCTTGGGTCCCCCCGGGGTCCAGGCTGTATCCAGGGAGCCCAGACACCAGGAAGCTCCTCAGGAACCGGAGAGACAAAGCAAGATGCAGAATGCTCCCGTGTCCCTGTGGTCAGGGCAGGACAAAGCCAGGGACCCAAAGTGGAGGCTGAAGGGGGCTAAGGGCTCGGGGGGTGGGGGAGGGACAGCAGAGGGGCCCTGTGGGCTTCCTGCAACCCAGCCTTGAAGGAACTGCAGAGGGGTGAGTGCAAAGGCCAGGTGGCTGCATAAGAGGTACCAGACCTGCGGAGGGCGTGGGGAGGGAGGGAGGCAGGAGGGGGAACCTTGCAGGGGTGGCTGATCATGGGGGGCCCAGCAGCAAAGGGGCCTGGCAGGACAGGTCTGAAAGCTTTGACTACAGAGCTGGTCAGTGTGGGAAGGGTGGGGCTACCTGCGACCCAGGGAAGGGACGCCAGGAGAGATGCTCTCACCCAGGAGACAGCCAGCCAGGGAAAGAGGAGACCCGGTTTGAAGCAGGGTCTGGGTCCCATGAGAAATGACTGAAAATCTACAGGGTTTGGCAACCAGGTTGCTGGGAACCTGCGGGTGGTGGTGGTGGCATATATTCCGGGGGGGGGGGGGCAGCACCGGGCGGAAAGGGGCGGGGGGGGGGGACAGAAGAGGGGGGGGCGGGGCTAGTTTAGGCACAAAAGGGGAGGCCAGAGTGCTTTTGCTCCTTCCTTTGGCTACAAAGGGAGGAGGGAAGGTGTTAGGAGCCAGGAGGGAGGGGTGGAGAGGGTGAGGTGGGGGGTGAGGGAGGGATAGTAGGGGGCTGATGGAAGGATGGCAGGGGGAGTGAGGTGGGGGAGTGAGGGAGGGATAGTGGGGTGAGCTGGGGGTTGTGGGGGATGAGGGTTTGTGGGGGCTGAGGGGGGATGGTGAGGTTGAGGGTCACCTTGCCTACAGGAGAGAGGCAGGAGGGAGTGGGCAAGAATTTCCTTGCTCTTTGCTCGGGCGCCTGGGTGGCTCAGTTGGTTAAGCGGTTAAGCAACTGCCTTCGGCTCAGATCATCTCAGGGTCCTGAGATGGAGGCTCCTCCCCCCCATTGCATTGGGCTTCCTGCTCAGCAGGGAGTCTGCTTCTGCTTCTCCCTCTACCCTTCCCCCACCCCCCTACCCCCCCACCCCCGCTGGTGATCTCTCTCTCTCTCTCTCTCAAATAAAATCTTAAGAAGAAAAAAAAAGTTTCTTTGCTTGCTGACTGGCCTCTGCAGACCCATCCTTGGTCAGCAAAGCAAGAACACGCCCTCCGGGGCCTCACCCCATTTGCTGACGACACAGCAAACCAGCCTTCAGAGGCTGGAAGAGTGTGGGCGGTAGTGGCTAGGGACGAGGTGGAGCCGGGAAAGGCACGCGGGCTCCAAGCCAGGCTCCATCCAGGACGCATTAGGACGAAAACCACACAGGACGGATGGCCAGGGTGAGCACTGCGCACAGGGGAGCGACAGCAGGGCCGGGCACCGCCGAGAGGCGGACACTCACCTCTCGAAGATGAAGCGCATGACCACCAGGGCCAGCGCCAGGGGCAGGGCTGCCAGCATATCCCGGGGGTGGGCATAGACCAGGCCATCCCGGTCCTCCAGGGCAGCCCACGAGTTGTTGGGTGGCAGCCACAACCTCTCCTGCCAAAACCATTCGCTGAAGCTGGACCACATCCTGTGGGCACATAGTCCAGTTAACGGGAGCGTGGCACACAGGAGGGCCCACCATCCCATCCTCAACACCTGTCCCCCGATGCCCGGCAACCTTGAGTTTATTACAGCCCGGGTTAAGGAGGGAGTTGGGCTGGGTGCCCTCAGGCAAGTGACCTGACGGCTCTGAATCTCAAGTTCATTTGTCAAACAGGGGCAGTAGCCCACCTGTCAGCCCAGCCTCACAACACCAAGTGCTTCCCCGGGTGCCTGCTAGCCCTGAAAACACACCTCATGAAAAGGGTTATTACTTTGCACTTCACAGGTACAAAAAAGGTGGCCAGAAGTCAGGGGACTGGCTGACTGGAGTCATAAAGTTGAGTTCTCAAACGTCCAGGAAGGTCTCCATGTGGGAAAGTGCCTCCAATGCAGCCCAAAGATGACCAGTTGAGGAAATCTGCAGTTCGCTTCCTGAGCATCCTTCCAGGTGTGAACGTCGGCAGCCTCGCTTGCTATGAGGCTGGGTTGCGGTTGGGCAAGCGTGCCTAGTGCATGACATGCTTGCCAGGTCACTGGAGCAGTACAGGTATGCTTTCCTTCCACCAAGGCTTTCCAGCGGCCATCTTGAGGAGCCCAAGCAGCTTTGCCCTTTCCCAAGATCTTAAGACAAGTGCCCAGACCCCCACACTGGTCCCCACTTGGGATGTTTGTTCATCATTATGTCTGTCCATCCCATCCATCCATCCATCCATCCATCCATCCATCCGCCTTATTACCTGCTGATCTGTCTGTCCATCCACTCACTGTCTGTCCATCCATCTGTCCCTCCATCCACCAACCAACCCACCGACCAGTCATCCATCTGTCCATCCGTCCATCATCTGTTCATCCATCCGCCTGCCCACCTTGTCCATCTACACATCTGTCCATCCACCCATCTGTCTGTCCATCCACCCATCTGCCCACCCAGCTGTCCCTCTGTTATCTGACTTGTTCATGCCAGAATGTGGCTAGGTGTTGGGGACACAGTGGAGAAAAAAGTAGACCCATTCCTGTCCCTGTGGAGCTCTCAGCCCAGCAGGGGGGTCAGCCAACACACAAGTACGCAGATTCGTAAATGAGATAGGACCGTGTGATGGGGCTGCTTGACAATGAGCAGGGTACCATGATTTTAAATGAGGTGACCAATGAAAGCCTAAGGAGATACCATCTGAGCAGAGACCCAGAGATGAGGAGGGCCTGGGTTTATGCAGAAGAGAGTAGTGGTGGTAGGGAGGGACTTTCAGAGAAAGAAGCAGCAGGTGCAAAGGCCCTGAGGCAGAACCGAGCTCAGAGTGTTGGGGGAACAGCAAGAGGCCCCTGTGGCTGTAGCGGAATGAGTGAGGGGGAGAGAGGGAGGAGGGGAAGGCAGGGAGGGGACAGGGGCAGGTCGTACAGGGCCTGTGGGCTTCAGGGAGGAGTTGGGATGACGTCCCCCGACATTTGTGATGAAAATTTCAAACCTACAGAAAAGTTGAAAGAATTTACAGTGAACTCCCAGAACCCACCACTAGATTCTACCGTCCACATTTTGTTCTACCTGCTCTATTTCATATCTGTCAGTGCATCCATCCACCCCCCTCCTTCCCCCCCCAATCAGGCCATCTTATTTTTCCGGATGCATTTTAAAATAAGCAGCAGACATCAAGTTGCATCACCCCTAAATATTTCAGCATGCAGATCATTAGCTAGGCTTCAGTATTTGCTAATGGGTTTGTTTTTTCTTTGAAGATAAAATTTACTGGAGCGAAATGCATAAATCCTTAAGCGTACAGTCGCTGAGTTTGGACAAATACAGGTACCTGCATGACACAGCCTCCAACCACGAATATTCCCATCCCTCCACGAAGCTCTCGTGCCCCTCTCCGGTCAATCTCCATCTTCCCCGTCCAAAGGTCACCTCTGTCCTGATTTTTGTTTCCATCATGCATTTGTTCCATCTGTGCTAGAACTTCATAGAAACGGAATCACACACTCCACCTTTGTGTCTGGCTTCTTTCGCTCCATGTAATGGTTTTGAAATTCATCCATGTCATAGCATCTATTGGTAGCTTTTTTTTTTTTTTTTTTTTTTTTTACTGAATTGTGGATACATATCATTTGCTTGTGGATGGGTGACTGGGATGCTTCCCATTTGGGGTGATTATGAGCAAAGCTGTTAAGAGCATACATGTCTCCCTGGCCAACCCCCAGGGGTGGAATGGCTGGATCACAGGGAAGCTGCCTGTCCAACTTCATAACCAATGGCCAAACTGTTTTCTGGGGTGGCTGTACCATTTTCCACTCCCACCCGTGGAGTGTGAGGGTTCTGTGGCCCTTAGTTTTATTTTAGATAAGAACACAAGCCACGGGGCGCCTGGGTGGCTCAGTCGTTAAGCGTCTGCCTTCGGCTCAGGTCATGGTCCCAGGGTCCTGGGATCGAGCCCCGCATCGGGCTCCCTGCTCGGCGGGAAGCCTGCTTCTCCCTCTCCCACTCCCCCTACTTGTGTTCCCTCTCTCGCTGTCTCTCTCTCTGTCAAATAAATAAATAAAACCTTTAAAAAAAAAAAAGCACACAAGCCACGGGGGGTTGGCAGCCTTGTGGGAAGTGGCCTTTTGGAGGCCGGAAGGAGGGGCTATCCACTGGAAGGAGGTGGAGGGGAGGAGCAGGTTTCCAGAGACTATTTTTTTAAGCTTGTTAGTTTATTTATTTTTAAGTAATCTCTACACCCAACATGGGGCTCGAACTCATGACCCTGAGATCAAGAGTTGCTCGATCTTCCGACTGAACCCACCAGGCGCCCCTGCAGAGACATTTTAGAGGCAGAGCCCCCAATAACTGAATACCCTCCAGACAGGAGCCAGAGGAAGAGACGCACACACACAGGATTCCATTTTTATCAAGTTCAACAGCAGGCAAAACCAACCGAGGATGCCAGCATCAGTGTCCCAGGTTACCACTAACCCAGTGGCTTCAAACGATGCAGATGTACTCTCTCTCAATTCTGGCGCTCAGGAGATGGGGCTTGCTGGGCTGAACGCAAGGTTGGGCAGGGCTGGGCTCCTTCCAGAGCTCCAGGGGGGAATCTGTTCCTGCCTTTTCTGGCTTCTAGAGGCCACTTACACTCCTTGGATGAGGGTCCCATCTTCTGTCTTCAAAGCCATCTCTCTCTCTGACCCTCCAGCCTCCCTCTAATAAAGACCTCTCTGATGACACTGAGTCACTGGGGAATCAGGGGTCAGCCCCCACGTCAAGGTCAGCTGATCAGCAACCTCTATTCCCCTTCACCACAGGAAGCTCCAGGATTAGAACGTGGGCATCTTTGGGGGGCATTATTCTGCCTACCACATTGCTGGGCATCGGACAGGTGGCTGCTCTGGGGACAGGCAGTGACCAGAGGGGCCCTGTGGGGTTGCCTAAGGCTGGCATGTTCTGTCTACTGATCTGGGTGCTCTTCTGGTTGAGAAAATTCACTGAGTTATCCATCAGTGATGTGGGCCCTTTACTCGTGCCAATTAAAATGCCTGCGCTTTAAAAGTCTACAATTCTGATTCCAATTCCACCATGTGGGCTTGTTCCCCACCCCCCGTTGCCAGTTGGCTGTTCTGCAACTCAACTGAGTTCTGACACTCTACCTGGAGACAGCATCAGATCCCACAGGGTAAGGGCTCAGTCCTACAGAGACTGTCCCCCCAACTTCAGCCACCAAGTGTGTCTAAATTAAATCGTCACCTGCGCTTCTGACCAACTGGCTATAAATCAAAGGATCCCCGGAATCCCTCCTGAGGGTTTTGAGTAATTTGCTGGAGTGGCTCACAGAACTCCGAGAGACATTTTACTTACTAGATCACCGTTTCATTCCAAAAGGACACAACTCAGGAATAGCTGGATGAAGAGCAAGGTGTAGGGGAGGGGCGCCCACCTCCACGGGCACTACTCTCCCCAAATTTCCATGCGTGCACCAACCAGGAAGCTCTCTGAACCTCGCCCTTCGGGTTTTCAGGGAGGCTTCATTACAAAGGTATGCTTGATTACATCATTTAAAGTTTTTTTTTTTTTTATGATTTTATTTATTTGAGAGAGAGAGAATGAGAGAGAACATGAGAGGGGGGAGAGTCAGAGGGAGAAGCAGACTCCCCACTGAGCAGGGAGCCTGATGCGGGACTCGATCCCGGGACTCCAGGATCATGACCTGAGCCGAAGGCAGTCGCTTAACCAACTGAGCCACCCAGGCGCCCATGATTACATCATTGATCATTGATGAATGAGTCAGCCTGCAGCCCCTCTCCCCTCCCTGGAGGTGGGGCGGCACTGAATTTCTACTCTGTATTCATGGTTGCCTTCCCTGACACCCAGCCCCTCTCCTTCCGTGACCCAGGGGCTTTCCAAAAGTCACTGTGTTAACCTAATAAAAGACACCTAGATCATTCTTATTGCAGGAAGTTCCAAGGGTTTTAGGAGCTCTGTGTGAGACCAGGGTCAAAGACCAAATTTTTATTTCTTACTATAAATCATAACATCACAAGTCAAATACAGAAAAAAGAAAAGCTGTCAGAGTCTGGGTCTCAGAACCAGCATGTGGCTGACGTTCAAGTCCATGGGGATGGATGGAATGGCCCAGGGAGGGGGGAGATGAAGGAGAAGCCCGCAGACCCCACCTGTGGGGCATCCGGCAGTCAGGGAGGTGATGAGCCATGGCAGCAGCTTGACAAATGGTCAAGGGTGTGTGACATGGCCAGTCTAGACCCACCAGGCTCAGATGGCCCAGACAGAATGGACAGATGGATGCAGAGACTTCTGCCTGGGTGGGTTGATTGCTCTACAAGAAACTAGCTTCACTAACAGGCAAGGTTGGCTTGATCTGGAGCACCCCTGGGGCCCGAGGGCACATGCCCAGCGGGGCATTCCCACCTCCCAACCAGAGCCACGCCCACTGCATGGCCTCTCCAGCCTCCTCCTACTCTCTCAGCAACATCCCCCACCCCTGCTTAGTGCAGATGGAAATGGGTTGGGAGTCCCAGGAAAGCCCCCAGCCAGCCAGAGCTGAAGCAGGTATCCAGGAGTCCAGGCCCCAATCCCATATTCTTCTCTCATTCAAGGGTGCCCAGATGAGGATCCACCACCGCCGTGCTGCTTGCAAATCGTGATGAGCTTCAGAGACAAGGCGTAACACCAGGAGCAAGGACATCTTCCAATCTCAGGCCTCTGCCGATATCCCGGCTTCCAAGCCCCCCATCCACTGCCTGACACTTTCTGCTCCCACCACACCATAGGATTTCACACAGCCAGCTTTTACAAGTGCTGTCTTCTGCCTAGAATGCCCACTGAATATTTATTGCCCTATGCTGGGTGCTGAGGACACTAAACAGTGAGGGAAGCAGGCAAGGTCTGTCTCCACAGGGCTTACACACCTTCTTTGTCTGTCTGACAAACTCCTAGGCATCCCTCAAAACCCAGTTCATTTGTCACTTCCTCCTGGAGGTACCTCCCGATTGCCTCCACCTTGGGTTTAGTTAAAGTGCACTCCCCCAGTCCTGCTTCACTCACTGTGATGTTGGGAGCTAGTTATGAAGTCTTTTTAGAGACAGTGGGGGGTGGAGAAGGAAGGAAGCATGATCAGCCTGGAACCCCAGTCCCCTCAGCCTAAGCAAGCCCAGCCCTTTCTGGTGTCCGTGTCAGACTACCCCACCTTGACTGCAGAGGTCTCAGCCCTGGAAGCCCTACCCTTTCTCTAACCTGTCTGTCTGTCCC